TTATTTTGAGCACTCGTTTTTGATAGCACTTAACAACGGATACTTTCCTTTTCCGCAGAAGTGACCCTTAAAGTCATCAAGGTCAAGAGCCCAAACCATAGCACCGCCGAATCCATTGTCCCTGACGTATCTAACCTTTTCTCGGAGACTATTTTCAGTGTCGTAGCCTACCCATTGGTTTCCAGCGACAAGGTAAGGTACGTGCTGGTCAGCTATGTTATTAAGAGTCGCGCCTTTGCCAATAATCTCACAGATTTCGTAGTAAGCCAGGTAACCGGCTTCTCGGGTGTAGGTCCCGGCTGTGCCTGGAGATGCTGGAGCGCCGACGCCGTTAGCAGAGCTGGTCAGTGTGAAAGATCTTCCGTAGAGCGGCATTCCAACGACGATCTTGTCCTTGGGTGCTCCTTGTTGAGCCCAGTAGTTGGCCGACCAGTCTACATTGAGCATTGCATTATCACCTAGAATAGAAACAGCATTGGTATTAATTTCTTTTGACAGTAACATGCTCCCAAACCGGACCACAAGTTACTTCTTAACCGTTTTGTGGGGCACCAATAAAACTGTGCTTTATGGCTGTACGTTGAAACGGGGTTTTGTATCCACAGACTGCAATCCATAAATCCATCGATTTATGAAAAACAGAACAAAACAAAAAACTCGACCACGCTTAACCTACTGTAAGCAGTATCGATTATAAGTGTGGTCTGGTTTCTTTGTACCTACTACGTTGGCTAAGAAATCTTAATAGCACCAAAACTAGTGGCTTGGAACGGCACTCTAGTACCTAATAAGGGTTATTGGCTGGTATGCACTATACACACCAACACACAAATATAGACATATACCGAGACTGAAGGGCTTCGATGCTAACGACACTGAGCCAAATGATCAATGCTCAAGTGCTTCTGGTTCAGGGGAAAACATACATACATGGCTGCAGGCCCACGTGTAGTATACGTGTTTGCATACAAAGCGGGAAGGAGAGAACTTCACAAATAATTTCCTGATTATAATCAACGCACCTGTCTCGGTTCGCGGAAGTTCTTTGAAGGTCAGTCCCAATTTTCTACTTGTTCATCGTTTACTAAAAGCACAGTTTGGGGAGACGAAGGGACAGAAGCCTAGAAGAAGTAGGCTCTGGTCCTCTAGTGTCTCTGGCGAATACCGCCTGATATAAGTAAAAATTACTTTCGATCTTGGGATAGAACAAATTAACGTAGCAACAGCTTGGGACTGAAAGAGTTAATCAAATATATGGCTAGCATCGTGTAGCCGAAAGCCGCTGTGGTGTAGAGGCTAGAGACCCGCCTACGGATCCGAAGGTCGATCGTTCAATTTCTAAGGTAGTTGTACTTTTTGTCAACAATGAACTAGACTTCCATGTCGATCCAGCCTTAAATGGGTACCAGATAAAGTCCTGGGAAGTGAAGGCGGTCGATTGGATACTAACTGCATCAGACACCGAGAGCCGATTGGTCTATAAAATATAGGTTTAGTACTATATGACAACTACTTTAAGGCAGGTTCCTTTACTTTTACTTTATCATATAGCACTTATGCCCCTGATCATATTTTGTTGTTAAAACTCAACATTCAAAAAAATTGTTAGTCTTAGTCGTTAGTCAGGTTTCCACCATCCCTGCAGACAGATCGCTAATTAATTGCTCCATTCCTGTTCCAATGGACATCCCACAGATGGTTCTTCACTGTCTTATTTTAAAACTAAGCAAAATCATGAAGCTGGCACCTGCGAATGAACATGCATAAGGTAGCTGTCTGGTGTACCAAGACTAACGTTTCCACTGTTGCCCCAAAAAATTCGTCACAAAACGTGGCATTGCACCAACCATTCTTCTTTTCCCTTGCGTTCAGTGGCTGTAAACGCGGGCGGAAAGTTCTGGCTGCTTATCCACTTCTGGACTCTAGTCATGTTCCAAAGCGTGAGTTTTGCGTGCACATCGGCTTCAATGATCTGCCCTATTTGTACGCAGACAGTTCCTCGCCTCTTTTGCAGATTCATTCCGACTTTAAAGAAAACACCCCTAATAAGTCGCTATCTACAACATAATTGTTAGAGGTAGTGGGTCTATTCTTACCCCATAATGGGGCCCCAGAACCCACACGGAAAACACACGCAAACTAAAATGCATAAGTCAGCTGTCAGTTGTATCAATACTGACGGTCACACACCAGAATTGCGGCTTACTGTTAATCCAAACGGTCAGTCATTAAAGCCGGTATTGTACCCACCATTCTGAAGGTAATGTTTGGTCTTATACAAATCAGCTGGGGAGCCGTGATAGCGTAGTATCTAGACGCTTGCCAACCGGTCTGAAGGTATAAAGTTCAAATCCGCATCGAGGCAGATTTTGAGACCCCCTGATTCACTCCCACCCATAGCCGTTCCAGAGCCGCCCCAGGCTAATAAACTGCCCTTCTTAGGGCGGTTTACGATCCCCTTCCACACACAAGATACGAAACAGGAGACGTTATCACCTGA